CTTTTGTTTTATTTGGAAATGAGGGTAGAATTATCTTTTTATTGGAAAAATGGATGAAAATGATCTTTTGATAATAAAATGTGGAAAATAGGGGTGAAAGTGTCAAAAAATTAAAGATATGATAGTTTTGCACAATTACATTGAAAGGTAAGAATATTTTGTACTATTTTCCCTTTTGTAAATCATCGTATAACTTGTGTATGTCTAAAAATATACAATTCAGTAATTAGTGGTTTATAAACATTCACAAGATTTCAGTAACAAGTTCAGTTCCACCTATGCCAACATTGGTTACAAATTTTTATATTTTATTGAATGTTCAGCACAAGATTTTTCTAAAATTTGTTTTCTATTAGGTGATATTGGAATATATACTAGTGCTTTTTTAATTCTACCAATTTGTACACTTATATGTTTCAATATGTCTTGTACAATTAAATTAAATATATGTCATATACAAAGAACATGAAATAGAAAACCACCAAAATCCGTACTAAGAGCCCTATATATAGTTTATCAATTACAAGTTTATTTACAATTTCATTATTAAATGTAAAATTACAATTTTAATTTCACAAAGTATTCTTTTATAATTATCATAATAGCATTAAATATATTAATTATTATTAGCATTACGATGAAAATTCAATTATTTTGTATGCATTATCTATAGTGGGTCTATATAGTGAGCACTTGCACTAATCTAACATTTTTTATTAATTCATTCTCATAAATCGGATGTAAAAGATATACACCATCATGTATTTTGTCAATCATGCATTGGCATTTTTTTTTTTTGGTGCCTAATGAAATTATCAACACATTTATATTCATTGAAATTTAATATAATAAGATAAAGTTATTCAAGAACTTTATGACTAGTAGTGTAGTATACTCTCGATAATACATTTGCAGTATCATAAAAAGCCGTCAAAGAAATTCTAATTTTAAAAGAAAGTATTCAATCATAATTTTGTAAATCATCACCTGACTCATGTTTATGTCTAAAATTATAAAATTCAATCATTAGTCGTTCATAGCTTTCACAAGATTTTTGTAATAGGTAAGCCGAGTTTCATCTAGATCGATTACAAACTTTCTAGATTACATTGAATGTTGACCACAATATTTTTTTAAAAACTTATTTTTTATTAGGTGATATTGTAATATACACCATTGGATCCCTAATTCTACCAATTTATTGGCTAATATATTACATTCCATCTTGTACAATTAAATATAATATATGTCATACGCAACGAACGTAAAATAGAAAACCATCAAAATCTAGATTAAGAGCTCTACATAGTTTATCAATTATAGGTTTATTGATAGTTGCATTATCAAATGTAAAATTACTAATTTTAGTTTCACAACCATATTCTATTATATTTGTCATGATAGTATTAAATATATTATTAGCATTATGAGAAAAATCAATTATTTTAAAAGCAATTATTTTTATGCATTACACATAGTGCGTCTATGTAGTGAGCAGTTGTAGTTATATAATTTTTTTTTTATTGATTCCTTCCTATACGTCATATGTAAAAGATATAGCATCAGTACATTTTTGTAAATCATGTATCGACACTTTTTGTGCCTAATGAAATTATCTACTCAATCGAACGAAGAGTTTTCTACTTACTGTAATGTACCTTGATTGAAAATAATCTTGTACGAATCTCGTGAAATATTTGTTATCTATTATGTTTAGCGACAACTTGGTATCGACTAAGAACTTGACCGTTCCTTTAGAACATTTTTCTCCCAGATAGATCCATGTGCCAGTGTACTAGAATTAATACTGGCAGAAGGAGTACCACAATGAAGTTGTGTTTGTGTTTGACCAAACATTTCTTGTAATGCTGGTTGAGGAGGGTAGTTTCGATTCATTTTTGAAATATCAATTTCGTTTAGCAATATTTGAATATTACTTTAGATTCTTGCACTTCATCTACTGTACGACCCGTGAAATCCAATTTGAAGTGTTCCCAACATTTCGCAATTTGCTTGAATTTTCACTTCCTCTTGTATTGGCTTCTTCGAGTTCTACCTCTTTATTAATGTCATCCAAATCAATTAGATGACTCCATCCATGCACGTCTTCAATGTCGAAGTCATCGAGAATTGGGATGTTATTGAGACCAGAAAAATCATTATCGAATTTGGACTGTGATGTAGTCTCAAGACTCTCAACATAACTATTGAGATCCATTTGTATAAAAAGAAATTGAAACGTATAAATATGAAATAGAAAATAATGGACGAATAATTAAATTGAGAATGAATGATAAAATATAATAAATGATTATGAACAAATAAATAATATTGAATAGATTGATATGAGAAATTTAGATGGTAAAATGTAGAACATAGATTGTAATGGATTTGTGTGGACTGAAATGTTAGGTATTTAAAAAAAAAATTCAAAATAAATAAATAAATAAATAAAATTAACTAAGTAAAATGTATGGATGACAAAAAAACTGTCATGCCTGATGCCCTTGGGGCTACGTCCTAAATGGAACGGGGATTACCTGTTTAATTGGATAATCTGATCAGGGACGGGTAACAGGGGCCCGGCCCAACCCCGTTTAATTATTTTATTTTATTTTTCTATTAATAATTCAATAATTTAAATGGAAAATTCCATGAAAATTCATTAATTCTAATAGAATATAGCAACTAAGATTATCTAAGGAATATGATAAACAATAAAGACCTTAGTTTACAAATATGTTCAAATAATTTGACTTTTAATAATAAATAAATTAATTAAAAATTTTAATAACTGTATTATTGTCCCATTTTAATGAATGTGGGTGATAAAATGAATTATCAAAAATTAAAAAAAGAAATTAATGGGTACGTAAATTGGGCAAATGCCCCGCCCACTTTAAACGGGTCATGAGGCAAGTATGGGGCAAGAAAATGCCTGATTGAGCGGAGTTGGGGGAACCTGCCCCTCCCTGACTCGAACCCTCATTAAAATTTCACCAAAATGTGATCGTTTGGTCGCATATTTTAACAAGCCCGAGAGTTTGTGTGGGCATAGTTCACGAGCTGCTTGTCTGACTATATTGGCTCAATCAATTTATTTATTTATTTTGGGGAGGGTGGGCTTGGCTCACGTTTAGGCTCGTCTTTAGATGAGCCCAAACAATCTATGGGCTGAACTCAGATGGACTGAGCGGACAAATTGTTCAACCCAATTGCCAACCCTAATTCTACGTGTATGCTGTAATATTTCGATTACACGTTTGGTACACACAACTCAGCACAAAGATAAGAACATTTTAGCATACCAGTATGTTATTGTCATTGAGTTTTTTGTTAGTAGGCCCTGTTTGGGAAGAATTATTGTCATTATTTTGGGTGGTAGACATGAAGATGGGGTCTTAAAAAATAAAAGGACAGATGTCAGGCTACGTTGGAAATAAATAATCTCTCAAACAATTAAGATGCTTGTCAGTTAAGAAAAGAATATAATAACAAAGAATCTTTCAACAAAATATGATCTTTGTCACTAACGTACAAAAAAATAAAAAATGAAAAACGAAAAAACTTACGGTGTGTTCTCTTTGATGTTTTCGGGTCGTTTTCTGTTTTCGTTTTTTTAAAACGGTAAAAACACGTTCTCCTTCCTGTTTTCGAAAACGAAAAAAATTTGTGAAGAAAACACAAAACGAGATTTTTGTCGTTTTGGGTATTTTCAGTACAAAATTGGAAAGAATTGAAAAAAGGGGAAATGATTTTTTTTTTAAATATAAAGCATTTAAATATTTATCAAATAGTCAAATGTTTTTTTTTTTTTTTAAATATATGTATCACTTTAAATTTTTCAGTTGTCAATCTAAGATTCTATCTTGGGAGGCAAACTTTCGTAAAGTTGTAAATGAGAAGGTCACGTAATAATTTTATAAAAAATTGAACAATTTTTGGAAGCATTAATTTTGACAATAAATTGATGATCGACCATGCAATTTTCCCCAAAAAGAATTGATTGATTACATATAACGCCTCTCTTTTTATAAGGAGACATAGGCATTAGGAAAGTAATAAGGTTAATATCCTAATAAACTATCAACAACTTACTATAAATCAATGGCCTAATAGAACTAAAATCCAATGGACAAAACAAAATAACTTATATTGTCCTAAATCAATGGAATAGTAATTTACATTTCCAACAATGTCTATCGACATCTACACCACAGGCAAAAAAGACAATTGCACAATTAGACAAAAATAATGCTACACAATATTAGAACATCTCTAATGGAGAGATACAAAGGAGATGCAAATTGCATTTTTTGACAGAAAGTTTAAAAAAGATGGAATTTAAATATTTTAATTAGAGCACAATTTGAATTTAGATTCATCGAAATGTAAATGATGATGCAAAAGTAATATTAAAGATATCAATTTACATTCAATTTTACATCACCATTGGAGATGCTTTTATTATTTTTTCAATCATGCTACACATTTAGACTCAAATTCAGATGAGACACGTGTTGTCGCATGATTGAAAAGTTTGAAAAATTAAAAACACCAAATCATTTTCTGACACATCAATCTATCTCTTCATTCGCGATTTTTGTAATACTATGTAATACTAGTGATGTTTTAGTATGCGTTTACATTATTTAGATTTATCATTCAATAGTATTGTGTTGATTTAACTAAACACCATATACTGCGTCACTTGGACTATCATTTAATGATATCGTGTCAACGCAACTAAACATCATAAACAGCAATTTTTTTACCCAAAATTTTATTTTTATCTTGTAAGTAATTTTTACTTATAAATAATTTTTTAAGTAATAAATCAATTTTTTTTTTACTTATAAAGGATTTTTTTTTTTAGTTAATGTATTTTATTTACAAATTAAATCCTCTGTTTTGTTTCAGTTTTGTGTTATATTAATTTAAGATACGTAAATCGTATTTATACTATTAATTTATAACCACGATTTTTTTTCGTTTATATATATTTTTTAACAAAATGCAGCATAATTATATATTAATAATTTGAAAATGGAGTCCTAAGAAATACAAAATACACAAATTTGTGTAATTTAATTTCCTCCGCACCTCACGTCCTTTATTCTGAGTCCGACTCCATGTTTCCCATTGCCTTCAACCCTCTTGGTCTCTGAAATAAATAAATAAAAATACCCAACTCATACTCCAACCAAATTATATAATTAATTATAAATTAAAAATAAAAGGAAAATAAATATACCTTCTTTGTGACCTTTTTCTCTCTGACCTCGTATCTTTCTAGGGTCAGGTCACATAGCCATGCCCCTGGACTTACCAACTGCATACCCAATTAAAATTAATTATAAGTTTGACTTAGGCTCCATTTGCTTCTCATTTAAGAATGAGAATAAAAAATAATCGTTACGAGCCCTACATAAGATATTTAAATTCAAATTTGGTGGTTTGATATGATGAAAAACGATCATATTTTTCATTTTAATGGAGAAAGAATGAAAAACAGACAGAGACTTAATTATAAACTAATTCACTCATTTTAACAATACTCTTCCTTTACTTGTACACAACACCAAACACGTGTAGTAGTTGATTCTTCAAGAAAGTCCAAAGAAAATTGGATTAATCTATCAAACGTGGACTGACTTTATGATAAAGATTGATTGACACCAAAAAATTAAAATACGGTTCTACCATCACAATAATTACAAATATACTTATAAGTAAAAGCAAGTATAGAGGTTGTGAGCCAAACGATCTTTTTGAAGCAAATCAATAAAAAAGAGGATACGTGTAAGCCACTTGGTTACACGAAATTGATTGCACCAAGGCAACGTTACAGGGCCCGCATCACCGTCACTATCACGGTCACCCCTCAGAAAATTTTTATTTATAACTCTCTTATTAAAATATACAATTTTTTTTAATTAATCCTTTAAAACTTTAATATATTTTTCCTATTATTTTATTCAATTTTAATTCAATATACCCTACTTTATTCCTGATCCAACTCGGACAGTTCTGGGCGAAGGCTAATGGAACTCCAAAAGTTGTCCCCAAATGCTCTTGCTTTTTGCACAAAACATAGCCCCATTTAATTGCAATTTTTCATCCAAAATAATCAATTTTTTTATCGTTATTTTACTATTTCAATAGTCATTTTTGAATTTTTCACACACAAATGAGAGCCAATTTTCTCTTTAAGAGTCAAAAAATCTATTCATATAATCACTACTGAAAGACCCATAGTTTGGAAAGAAAAGGCCTAAATATTACCAAAAATTAAAATGGTTATTAATTATGAAAAATATCTCACATTCATGGGATTCTGATTTTGATATGATAACTTTCTATATTGAATCATAAAAATATAGACATATTTTAGTAAATTAACAAGAAAAAAGAAAAACTTACATTGAGGGTTCGCTGAATGAACTTAGCCCTTTTCTTGGGTCTTTGTGGGAGCCTGGAACCTTTAATGGCCATGAAATCCTCTTCTTTCTCCTTGTTTGTCAAAGCAATCACAAACTTAGGAGGCCACACAGATGGAGGGATCATCGTGTCACTTCCCGACGATCCACCTTTCTTGCCGTCTTGGGCTGTCTCCGATGACGTCGACCCACCATCTCCGCCGCCGACACCGCCATGATGGTTGTCATTATTCTTGTAATTATTATTATTGTGGTGGTGGTGGTGGTGATTACTGTTATTATTAGCAGTACCTTTTTTGTCTGGGGAAGTCACCCCCCTCACACCACCGTTGCTTTGTCCCCTCATACCAATTGAACTCTCAGAATTCCTAAAACACAGATAGAAACAATAAACAAAGTCACAACCCTGTATAAATCATAATCCAGAAATAAATAATTAACAATTAATTAATAAAAATTAAAACTTTTGCATGGGCAAAGAAGAAATTACTGACTAATAATAATAATGTTTGTGGGGTAATCTAGTCTAGTCTGGATGATTCACAGGTGAGGTTATGAGTAGAAAAATGAGGGGAGTTGTTAAGATAGGACCGGGTCAGGGTGTGGTTCTAATTTATGTCAGCTGCTTTTAATTTAATTACACACTACTTTTCTATAGAGAAAAAAGTGTGATGGCGTTTTCTGAGCCATTGGATTAAGCCTACACAATTTACAATTCCTATTCTTTAAATTTGGATCTAACAATACATTGCATTAGAAAGGATAGAAATGGATGACCCACTTTTTGTACCCCCACACAGCTACTGTGGGAATCATTTCCTGATAATATTATATTAAAGTGCAATAAATAGGAGGAATAAAAAACAAGAATAAAGCCATTTGTCCAAATTTAAAAATAGGGAAGGAAAAGATAGATTGATGTGCTAAAAAAATGATAAGGTGATTTTATTTTAATTTTTTAAATTCTTTAATCATGCATCGACACATGTTTCATCTTAATCAAGAAATGAACAGCAGGATGAAAAAAATTATCTTAACTGGACAAAAAATAAAAACAGGATAATACTCTACTCCCAGTCTAGTTTGATGATAATAATGCCCCATTTGCAAGCATTATCCTGTTCACTCATAAACATAACAGGGCAATGAAAACCCAACCATCCATCCTTATTCAAGTGCAATATAAAAGGATTATTTGGCATGACTTGTAAAAAAGATAAAAAGAACTTTTAATACTCAAAACTTAGTTTTGAACCCGTTAAGTAATTTTATCAAAGTACTTTTGCAGTTAAATAAGCTTTAATAATAAGTTGGTCCAATAAAAGTATTTTTGAAATAAGTTATAAAAAAATAATTTTTAAATAAAAATTAAGGAAGCTTTCTTTCAAAAAAAAAAAAGTAAAAGTAAAAATTATGCCAAACGGGCTCTAAATCTTCTCTTTATCTTTTTGTGATCAAACCAACTCCATAGCCCTCATCTGATGTGATCTGATCTTAAACTTACAACCCCAAAGATTGCTAGATTTTGATACTTGTACACTGGGGTGTTAGTTGACCGATCCCTCACAAAAAGGTAGGGCTCATGATGAATAAAAAAATCGTAAGCTCCTTAATGTGAGGGTGTCAGTACACCGGGGTGTACAAATAGCATGGTCCTAGATAGCAATGGATTTCAGATTCATAACACACTCAAACCTATAAAAAGAAACAAATTGACTAAAGTATTTAGCCCTTCACTCGCACAACGGATCCAAACCAAGTTTGATTTAAGAAAAATCCAATCCCACAACACAACAATTCAAACCCAAATACCTAGAATCATCTCGTCACTAACAATTCGAATTTACATACATAACAAAATTAAATAAGAGGAATTACCTCAAAATTCGTTGATGATGATGAGATGGAGAAGATGGACGTTGTTGACGGAGATTCAAATACACATTTTTATTATTATTCTGTTGATTTGAATTAGCAGAATCCTTATTCAGATCCGACCTAATAACCCGGGTTGTGGTCCGATTAACCCGTGGGGCAGCCTCATTATTGCTGTGCTCTTTTCCCTGCACCTTCATGCACCGAAGCCTTTTTCTATTGCCCCACTGCAAAAATAAGTCTGACGACGTCGTTACGCCTGACTTTGACTCGGATCTCTGTAACAGTCCTCCGTCTCTGTTGCTAGCGGGATTATTCCTCTCCATCTCGCCTTTCTACACCTGCCCATCATGGAGTTAGCACATGTTATGTAAATACTGCTTAAATTTTTAATTTTACTATCAATTTAAAATAAGTGGAAATTAGAACAATATAGAAATACTTGGGCTTATTTTCACTTCAGAATTTTGAAATAGAACGGAATACTTTTATCATTTATTTTGATTATAATTGGAAGCAAATTACATTTCTGAAATTAGAAGATAATTTCTGGTGTATTCAAAGAAGATAATTTTTTGACAGGGATCTGTACCAACCAAAATGGATGGAAAATAATATATTTAAGAATTCAGCTCAAGAATTTTTGGGGAAAAATGCAAAGAAACATTTTGGAGATTGAAGAAATATTCAGTACAACAGAGGCCAACTCTAAGAAATTTCGAAAGACGAAGATAAAATGATCAATAGAGAATTGTTTACAATAAAAAAGAAGACGAAACAAAAGTGGAGAAATTGAAAAAAAAATTGGTGAGAAGGAGGTGCTGACAATTTAATTCCATAATTCTTTCGCCCGGAAAAATCACAGTGATGAGAAATCGGTAAATCTTGGTGAGAAACGGGTGATAACAAATTGATGAAGTAATTACAAGGCGAAAATACCCAGAGAGATAAGAATGGAATTTTTGAGAGTCTTCAAACGTCAATCACCCTTCATTACCTGCAATGGATTTAATTCCTCTTCTTGTTCCTCGCAGAGAAACTCTGATTCTTTCTTCAAAATTGAACAATCGGTGAAACTTGGTACTGAAAAATCAATGTGAAGAACACCAAAATTGGGTGGGTAATTTATATCGGATATCTGCAGAGTCTGACGAACTTGCAAAATAGAGCCTCCCGAATCTGCAGTATAAAAACCAGAAGTTTCATGAGAAACAATTCAAACCGAACTTTATATATTCTGATCTTTTCGGAGATGGCTGGCTTTCATACCGTATTTAAGCAAAACTTGTGGTTCTAAAATTAAAGATTATCCTTCCGCTAATGACCCTTGACAATGGTGAGTCCACAACAAATTCAGTTGATTCAAGTCCTTTGGCTCCTAAGCTCCCGGCAGATAAGGATTTTCCGATGAATGTCAACGAATACGAGCTCCACCTTTCAGTTCGTGTAACCACGATCTTACCAGTCTTGAAACTGATTCTCAATCTCCCAGAAATATACCTGTCAAACCAAAATTAAGGAAAAAATCATTCTATCGCAAAGAATATCAAATGAAACGCACAGAACAGATCAACAATTCCGATTACGAACCTCTAGACTCGAATATTTCTCATATCTAATCGAAGTGCGTCAGTTTCTCACAATCCGCTAATGAAATCAAATTTCAGTATTCTTCTGAAAAACAACTCCAATCCACTTGAAAATGCTCCTGTGGTTCAAAAACATACAAATCGTTCAAGTAAATCCCATAATTAAACTCAGAAACTGAAAAATAATTAATCGAGAGAGTCAGTTTCTCACAATCTGCTAACGATATCAAAACTTCAGTATTCTTCAAAAATACAAGCCAATCCGTTCCAAAATGTGCCTGCGATTCAAAAACCAAACACAAATTCCCATAATTAAACATCCAAATTGTAGATTAATTAATTATTGAAAAAACTTCAAATCATCAGAAAATTAATATTTCACTGCATTTCCCACACACCAAATTCTCCCAAAGCATTATGATCTTAATTTTTGAGAAATGCAAAACTAGAGAGGGAAAAGTCAGATAGAGAGAGAGTTTTCTTCTCCTGAATAGAGAGAAAAGTACGAAACACTCTCTTTTCCTTTCAAACGCCCATTTTTTGTACCCTCCCGTTTCCTGTTCTCAATCTATCGTTTCATCTCTGATCGTTGAAAAGAAATCGACGGTCAAAATTTCTTTCGAGGAAACCGTCGAGGTCGCTACGTTACGGCGTTATTCTGTCCCACTTAAAGACCGGATTTTACTTCACGACGTTAACTACTCAAACGGAATCTTTTCCGCTGTGATGTTGCCGTTTATTTTTATTTAATTTGTTATTTTCTTTTTATTTTTTAATTTGGACATTTCTCGCAAACCGGTGCACAGGCGCATAGCATGTGACTAACTGAACCACGACTGCTTATTGAACCCGGGTTAAATGAGTATTAGGTTAATGACGTCATAAGTAAAATTAGCCCTGTTTGAGCTCATTTTTTCCTTCTTAAAATGAAAAATATGACCGTTATTCATCACATTAAACCACCATATTTGATTTTTTTATCTATTGTGTAGGACCCATAACGACTATATTTTTCATTATCATTTTTATAATGATATGGCTCAAATGGGAGTAGTGGTGGCAATAGGTCGAGCCGGCTCGGCTAGCCATCGTGGCTAGTCGAGCTCGTGGCTCGTTTCCAACTAGCCGAGCTCGAGCTCGTTGAATTTGGGTGAGCTCGGCTTGTGGGCTGGTCCAATTTTTTTTCTTTTATTTTTTATTTTTTTAAAGATTTTTACAAATAAATGAAATAATAGAAAATACTTTAAAAAATAAAAAGTGTTAAAAAATACAAATAATTTTTTATTTGTTTTATTTATATCATATTTATTACTTTTTATAAAGTATAAAATATTTATATAATAAAGACGAATTATTTTTTGAAATACATTTACAAAAAATATATATTTTTGATTTTTTTTAAAGTAGATAAAACGTAAACCCTTCTTCTTTATCCGGGCTTGGGACAGGCTATATCAATTTTAAGTAGGCGGAGTTAAAAATTATACACGAACAACTTATTGTAACGTGTACAATTTTTTTAAAGAAAATTAAATTTAACGATTAAAAAATAAAAAAATTTTGATTAATATAATTAAATCAAATATCACTTATCCGACGACATGCAATTTCAGCGTATTTATCTTGTAATCGAAAATGAGGGTCCTGTCAATCCTTCACGCACATTAATACTTCATAAACATCTTCTTTCAGTCGGCTCCTGACATCAGTCAAAACCCTTTTACCTGCACTAAAAGCAGACTCCGAAGCAACAGTGCTAACCGGAGATATCAGCAGATCTTTCGTAATTGCAGAAATAATTGGCCAACGTCTTTCATACTTTCACCAAAATTCAATTACTTCTTCTGAACTTTTTTTAATTGTTTTGTCTGTCGGCATATTATGATTGAAGTAATCAATTAATTCGACAGGCATCGCATTTTGAGTTTCGGTCGATGTTTGATGAGATGCAAATGTAGACGACATGACACTAGATGAACACATTGCAGTTGCATCATATCTAAATGTATTAATGTCATGAAATAAATTCATTATTTCGACATCATTTTCTTCAATTTCAGTAGAAGGAGTAGGTGCAGAGGGTACCCGACTAACATTCGCACCCATTCTTTCCGCATATAAATCATACATTCCACATAATATTTGCTCTAAATTCTTATAGGTGATAGATATATCAAGTATTAAAACTTTATTGATTTGATCAATTACATATTTAGTTCCCGAAATATTATATTGGGGATCTATTGCGCATGCTAAAAGAAATAATATAGGTAGTTCTTCCCAATATTTTTTAAACTTTAATTTCATAGCAATTATAATTTTACTAAAATCAGGATCATCTTTATATTTATGGAATGTTCTTGCAATTATATAAAGGCGTTCAAGCACCATACATCTTGTGGGATAATAAACGCCGAATAAAATCTTTGTGGTCTTATAAAAAGATGTCAAAAATTGTTTAACTTTCAAAGCTAAAATCTAATCAGATTCATTTAATATAGTATCGTCATCACTTCTAACGTGTCTATTGTTATAAAAGTCAGTTATTAAATTTTTGAAACTTTCACATGACTTTAATAGCAAATAAGTAAAGTTCCATCTATGGCATACGTCGCTAACAAATGTTTTAGCACTCATCACCCCTAGTTCAGCACAAAAATCTTCAAATGCTTGTTTTCTATTAGGAGAGATTGTAATATATACTAATGCATTCCTAATCTCCTAATCATTTGAAGTTCATTATTTATTTGTTTCCATCTTACACAATTAAATTTAAGATATAACACACACAACGAATATGAAACAAATATCCACCAAAATCAAGTTGAAGTGTCTTACATAATTTATCGACGACTACCTTATTAACAATAGCATTATCAAAAGTAGAAGATCGAATTTTAGTCTCACAATGATATTCTCTAACAATACTGATAATAACATTATATATATTATTAGCATTGTTAGGAAACTTAATAATTCTAAAAGCAATAATTTTCTTATGCATACATCAAATTGGGTCTATATAGCGTGTGGTTGCAGCTATATATGCTCTTTTATTAACCCCTTCCCATCTATCAGAAGTTAAAGATATAACACTCCCATATTGTTTCAAATCCATAATTAATTGTTGTTTTGAATTATTGAAATAATTTATTGTATTGGCACGAAAAGTGTTTCGACTTACCCCAACGTACCTCGGTTGTAGATATTCTTTCACGAACGAGACGAAGTGTTGGTTGTCTGCAATAGCCAGAGGCAACTCAGTGGCGGCAACAAATTTCAAAATTCCGATTTGAGTATTGTCTTTCGAATACACCCACGTGGATAGGGATGAAGTTGTAGAATCGGCATCTAGATTGCCAAATTGCAATTATGTTTGACCAGCCGGAAGAAGTCCATGTCTGGCCGCACATGCTTTGTAGTGGCGGTTGAGATGGGTGGTACCAATTCCTTTTTGCCATGCCAATCTTTGTTGACAGTATTTACATACTGCTTTAGATTCTGTAAGGCTATCGATGACTTTTCCCGTTGAAATCAACTTAAAGTGATCACAACATTTTCCTTGTTTTTTGGCTTTTCGCTTTCCCCTCGCATTTGGAATGTTTAATTCGGCATCTTCATCCCTATGTTTCGCTTCGGGAACGTTAATATCATCCAAATCAATTGGATTGTGACTTCCCTAACTGTGAATGTGAACATCTTCAGGTATCGGTATGTCATTTAGACCGACAAATTCATTTGAAAATTCACTTTGCGATGTCCTAGACGATTCGCCATGATGTGACCCACATCCTGTATCGAATAAGTTCTTAACAAATCAGCGTTGATCCATTTGTTTGATTGTTTATGATCAAATCTTAACTTGAAGAATATAAATGTAGTGAGATTGTGAGAATTGAGAATCGGATGAATTGAAATTGTAACTAATAAATTGTAAAAATTGAATTGATATTGTATATTTTGTAGCACAAGAGAGTAAAAACTCAATAATTGATATAATAAAAGAGAGTTGGAGACTTGGAGTAACAATTGATATGAAAAAAATAAAAGGAGGAAGGGGTATTTATATTAGGGGGGGGGGGGATTTAGAAAAAAAATAAATTCAGTGACCGTTTTGTTCACTGAAAAAAAAGTGACTGTTTTGGTCACTTTAAAATTAAGTCGTGGCTCGTTAAAAATAATGAGCCGCGCCCGCTCGGCTCGCCTCCCGGCGAGGCCCACTCGGCTCGTGCTCCGGCTTGTGATTTTATGAGCCCGAGTTGCCCACGAGCTCCATTTTCACGAGTCGATTCGTCGAGCCACCGAGCGGCTCGGGCCTTTTGACATCCCTAAACGAGGGCTATGCTTAAGGTCTTGACTTTGACGAGCTTATCAATAGAAGAATGTAATACTGGTTGAATTTGAAAGTCGACTAATTCTTGAATTTGAAAATTGAAATCGAGAGAGATCTAGCGGAACATAAAAGGAAAATTATAAAAACACGAAGGAATAGAGAATTCGACTAGTTTGATCTTATGTTGTTTTCCAAAATGTTGTTGCATTAAAAGCTAAACAAGTTTTTCCTATTAAATTTGTTTTAGATTACGTTTAAAGGGATTGAGAAATTATATTGAGTGATGCTATAGCACTGTTAGAGTAAAATATCACTTTGTTTGATAGCATATGATAGATTTAATTAAATAAGTTAAATAACATTGTATTTAATTGGACTTATTATTTAATAACTTCATGTCACATAGGATAATATTTTAATACCGGTAGTATTATATAGCATTATTTAATTAAATTTCAACTTTGAGTAAAATTTGAATATGGATATGGGGATCCTGTAAGATCTAGTTATGCAAATTGGAGAGTTACAACATATATTCAATTAAGATTTTATAGACTTGATGACTTTTGTGAAATTCGTGAACTTCTAAGTCATTTGTATAAATTTGTTAAGAATTACTAGAAGCGTTGATAGAATTTTGCAAATTTTTATTAAAGACTTTCATTTTCTGAAGAAAGAATAAAAAAAAATAAAATAGTTAAGCTAAATAGCTATATTATGTAATCTTATTTTGAACAACTTCTTATGTATCCAAATCACCCGCAACACATGCAATTAAAAACAAAGTAATAAATTATATTTCTATTATCAACAAAATATTTTTAAAAAATTAAATCACCTTAATTAAATTAACAAATAATCTATATACCAAAAATAATTAATAATATTTAATAATGTTCAACAAAAATTATCAAATATTACCAACAGCCCTCCATATATTAGCTATAATATCCCTCCATGCATTAGCATTCTCTTTTTCTTATTATTGACTTTGGAAAAAATGGTTCGAAATTTTTTTTCTTTAGTTAACTAACGAATATGATGAAGCTTCATTTTCTGGTTTAGAAAATTAACATTCTTTGCAAAGAAAATTATGTAAGCCCAAATAAGCTAACAGTAGCTTCACTTCCATGCAATATAGAAATGGAGAAACTATTTCGAAAATAATCAATCATGCTATAAATATAACAAGTATCATCTCAATTAT